TTGAAACTGACACAAACAAATGGAAGAAAACATCCCATGCTCATGTATCAGAAGAATTAATGTCAGTAAAATAATCATATTGCCCAAAGCAATCCACAAATCAAAGCAATCCCTATCAAAATATCAGAACCATTCTTGACCGAAAAAATAATCCTAAAATTCATATGGAACCAAAAGGAATCCAAATAGCCAAAGAAATCCTAGGCAAAAAGAACAAAGCTGGAGGTATCACATTGATTTCGTCAAAGAATTTATGACTAAGATCGAAAGCACAGGTATCAAAAACAAAAATAGCCAAATAAGACTCAGTTAAACCAAAAACCTTCTGCAAAGCAAAAGAAATACTGAACAGAGTGAACAGACAAACCTCTTGAATGGGAAAGAGTACTTTCCCTTGCTGGATGGTTCCTGCCCTAAATATTGGACTCTAAGTTCTTCAGTTTTGGGACTCAGACTGACTGGCTCTCCTTGTCAGCTTGCAGACAGCTTATTGTGGGACCTTGTAATTTTGTAAGTTAATACTTAATAAACTCCCCTCCTACATATATTTGGTCAAGTGTTGATTTGAGGTCCTGAATATCTTTGTTAATATGCTGCCTTGATGATCTGCCTAATACTGCCAGTGAGGTGTTGAAATGTCCCACTATTATTGTTTGGGAATCTAAGTCTCTTTGTAGGTCCTGAAGAACTTGCTTCATGAATCTGGGAGCTCCTGTGTTGGTGTGTACATACTTAGGATAATTGCCGCTATTCCGTTCCCATAGGAAGTCAAACATAATTTTTAGCACTGGCATGCTCTATAATTTAGCTTGTAGAAAAGCAATTACCTTGTTTTATCTCCTCTGTGTTTTGGGTGAAGAGTTTAGTCACTGTTTTACTTAAATAATAACACTAGTGTCTTTACTGGTATTCTTATCAATCAGCAATTCAGGTAGATGTCTCTCTCTTTTTTAAAATCTGAAATCTAGTGTCAACTCATTTCAGCACTGTTTTGTTTGGCTTCCAGTATATAAAAATGGATTATTAATATAAATACTCATGGTAACATTCTTTGAATATGAGTTATCTGAATTGGATAAAACTTTGGATTCCTTGCTTTCTGAGCTAGCTAATAATAAATAAATTAGGGAATGTTTTATTTGGGTACCTCAGTTTTCTGTTTCTATATAATCAATCTTTATGTGAAGGAAGCTGAAAATGCTGTTCTAAGAAATATTGCAGATAATTTCACTAACTCATATTTTAGAACCAACACCGGTTGATTCTGATCACTCACTCTGTAGTGGGAACTTCTATAGTTATATGAAGGAGGTTTCACGTTTTTGTAGGAGTCACATTTTTAGCTATGGTACAGGAAATTTAAAAAAATACTCTTTATCAATTACAGAGAGATTCTATTATTTTTTTCTCTAATAACAAATATAGCTAAAAACTGCAATCAATCATGGCCTTTTAAATTGTTAATAGCTAGATCTTTTGTTCTTTATTCTTTTTCTTTTTTTGAGATGGAGTCTTGCTTCGTCACCCAGGCTGAAGTGCAGTGGTGCCATCTCGGCTCACTGCAAGCTCCGCCTCCCAGGTTCACGCCACTCCCTGCCTCTGCCTGCCAAGTAGCTGGGACTACAGGTGCCTGCCACCACACCCAGCTAATTTTTTGTATTTTTAGTAGAGACAGGTTTCACCATGTTAGCCAGGATGGTCTCGATCTCCTGACCTCGTGATCCACCCAACTTGGCCTCCCACAGTGCTGGTGGTACAGGCGTGAGCCACGGTGCCCAGCCTAGATCTTTTAAATTATTACATATTTTTAAATAATATTAATGAAATATCAAATTTATCAGTAAATGCTTTCCATTCAAATTTATTGACCTATAATAAATTACACAAGAATAGCTGAAAAATTTATTTTTAGCTAGAATAGAATCAATGGAAGACCACAAACTTGTGTAACTAGTAATGGCAACTGAGTTTATATTCCTTTGTAGATTAGCTTACATTTATGTTGTGCAAGATCCATTGTTTTCCTATTACATTCATCAGTGCTTTTGAGAAATAGTCAATGGAAATAAAAACCTAAAATAAATACTTATCAAATTTTAAAACAATATTCTGAAAGAACTTCTGATTTTAAAATATTTTATGTCTGTCATCATTTTCTAGGACTTTGTTCTCAGTAGTCTCCATTTTTTCTGTAGATGTATGTACTAAATTGCTACAATTACCATACTCTGTTTTTCTCTATATCAGTATCTTTTGCCATGTGACATCATAGCTTCTCTTACGAAGAAGTCCATACATCTCCAGCCCTTGAATCTGAGATGATTCTGTGGTGGCAAATACAATACAGTAAAAATAATAGTGTCGCAGTTCAAAGACCAGACCTCCAGAGGCCTTGCATGCTTCCTTTTCTCTTGACACTCTGTCCAGCCACCATGTGAACAAACCTGGGATAGTCTCCTGGATGATAAGAGATTGTGTGAACCAGGGCAGAGTCTATCTAGTTGTCCTATAAAAGGCCTCTGACATATGAGAAAGCCCAGCCAAGATCACCAAAGCTGCTGATCACATCTTGACTAAACATGTATGAAGGAGCTCATCCAAGAAGAAAAATTGTCCAACTGAGCCCAGCCTAAATTGACATCCAGCAAAACCATAAGCAAAATAAATGGTTTTAAGCTGCTAAGTTTTGAGATGGTTTATTTCATAGTAGCATCTATTTGATGCAATTAGATATGCATAGTCTAATACATTAGGGTTCTGGATGGATATGTCACTATGAAATAGCATTCTTAACATATTTTCTTTTTACTAAGGATAATTCTTGTGTAAAATGTCAAAAGGCTATGCTTTTTTTCTTGCCATTATCTAGAATTATGCACACTAAAGTATGTTGCAATTGTTTTACTGAAAATCATAGGAACATGCTCCTTCTACTAATCACTCATTCTTTCTTTGTTTTCTCTATTTACCTGTACTTCCATTCCATTTTTCTTCTCTTTCTCACATAAAAGAACATAGGCAACTCATTGCTCAAATAAACGTTACACTACAGAGGTAGTTTACTCCCTCCTTTGGCAAATTAGGTTATTTACTGATTTATATAGAAATTTATCAGAACACTATTTCCCAGACTTTCTCTCAAAACATTTAGTACAAGAATTTAACAATGTGCCACTCTGTGTATTCTGCCTTCCATTATTTATTAGGAATTCAACTGTTCAGAAATGATGATCGAAAGCTCCTATGGCTTTCTATTATTTCCACTTAATGAAGCAATCCAAATGGAACAGAGATTGCCACTCTTTTGATTTCAAATGATTTTCCAGCAATTTCCATATAATTATATTGCCTGAATATACCAGACCTCTCAGGAACTATTCACTTCCTTGAGACACATTTTAGAACATGTTCTTTCCTAGTCTTTTTCTATTGTCTTGTACATTTAGTTATCTCAATATACTATCATAAAAATGAAATCTTCAAATGGTATACAATTTTATAGGAAACATTCCAATTCAATCATATTATTACATGCTTATTTTCTTTATATACAAAAACTATTTGAGGAATCAAACTGAATTTTCTTGGCCATAACTTTTAATCTCAGATTACTAAGTTTTGCTAAATAATAGGTACCATGGAAGACTCTCTCAGTGAAATGGTTGCTGAGCCCCAGCTAAAAAGAATAACATATATTTGGATATATTAATTTTTCTAACCAATAATTCTGAGCAAATACTTAGTATTCTGCATATTACTAGTTACTCGGAGTAAAAAGAGAATTATTTTCTTTGAGATGCTCACCATATATGAGAGAAAATAATATGCATAAATTAAAAGCATATGTCATGCTACAAGGAGATTAATAAAAATTAGAAATAGTAAAGAAAATGGAGTAAATCTTCCTGATAAGTTGAAAAACTTTTATGAAAGAAGACACTTTAGGCTAGATAAGTCAAAGAAATGTAAAGATTTATAAGCAGAGGAATTATTTCAATAGCTGCCTATTCATCCCATTGGCAAAAGAGGTTTTCTTGCCCTATGGTTGTAGGACAATTGCATACATATTCCCAACACCGGACAAATTAGATCAACAGCAGTTATTAGTCACAAATACTCACATCTAGGTGGAAGGGGACACTGTACCACACAGGAATTGTGCATAGGAACAGAGTGAGCAACCAGGGGTCATGAAAGATGGGCTTTGTGGCATCAAGAGGGTGGGGTACTCCTCTATTTCCTGTAGGACAATGTGATTTCCTTATTTGAATAATTTCATAGTTGTCAGGAAAATGAAGCCCACAATACAGAGATGAACCGGAACCATGCCTGATCCTTTGATAGCTAGGGTTAGTTATCTAGGGGGCCTTATCTGTGGAGGCAGAATGTAGAGGGGAACTTGCGGTTAGGACATTCAAGCCCTCCTGATTTTACCAGATATCAAGGTAGTACATAATTTTGAGTATTAATTTTAAGTCTTACACCACAGAAATGAATTTACAAGACCCAGAATTCTAAATATTCTTGCTATTTTATGACAATGCTGAAAAATTCAGCTGCAGGACATAGCTGGGAAGGAGACAGGATGGAAAGTTTTACACATATATTTAATGCGTCCAACAGATTTTTATGAAAACAGTAATTCTCTATGTCTTCTTCAAAACTGTATATCCAGAATCTAGACAAATAATTGATATTGTAGGAATTCTCAAAAAGTGTTTGGACTTAATAAAAAAATGTTGTGGCAAACTTTTGTTGGCACTGAGACGCACAGGTAAATAAAACCTGTCCCTTTTCTAATAGGCATATTGTCTAGAAAAGATAGAATAAAATACTGTCAAATAAGCTAATTATTAAAAGCATACACAAATATTACGTTGGGGAGAGATTTTTACAGACACTGCAGGCTAAAATACAGGTTTACATTTAATTCCATAATCAATGGTGAAATTAGAGAAGTTTTTAAACACTGTAATGACATAATTATATTCGTTATTTAGGTAGAAAACCCTGATGGCGAAAGCAAGTTTTAACTGAATTGAGAAGAACCTGAAAGTTATGTAACCATGGCTTTTATGAGTCAAAGAAGAGACACTATGGGCATGTGAACTATAACAATGACATCTGGCATGGAGAAAATGATAGATTCAGTAATTTCAATTTTCTGCAAGATAGAGAACACACAGAGAAGTAGTGATTGACATACAGTATAAGAATCCATCCCCTACAATGTGTGCAAAGGAAATTAATGACTGGCTAGACGCTGGAAAAGTTTAACACTTTAAATCAATGGTGTGAAAAAAAGGTGGGTATGAAAATCGGAATACTTGGATAATAAATACTAAACAATGGAACTTTCCACTTCAGCGTACAGAATGCCTGGCAGGCGTGTATTTACCCCATTAGCCAAATAAAAGAAAGAAGTGACAAAAGAACAACAACAACAATGTGTTTATCTTTAAACTGGTCTAGAAGTAGGATCATGCATTTTTGCCTTAGTATATGCCCACATTCTGAAATTTGAGATGTTTCCACTTCTGGGGAAGTCAGTAGAAGAAAGACACCAGACAAAATCTCTAAAAATAATATTTTTAATTAAAAATGTACACGCGGCTGGGCGTGGTGGCTCACTCCTGTAATCCCAGCACTTTGGGAGGCCGAGGCGGGCAGATCACAAGGTCAGGAGTTCAAGACCAGCCTGGCCAATATGGTGAAACCCGTCTCTACTAAAAATACAAAAATTAGCTGGGCATGGTGGTGGGCATCTGTACTCCCAGCTAACTAGGGAGGCTGAGGCAGGAGAATAACTTGAATCTGGGAAGCAGAAGTTGCAGTAAGCCGAGATTGTGCCACTGCACTCCAGCCTGGGTGACAGAGTGAGACTCTATCAAAAAAAAAAAAAAAAAAAAAAACACGTGAAAATACCAAACATTAAAGATACTGGATACTATAAATAAAAAGGTTAAATTAAATAAACAAAAAATGACTGCAGATTCAAATATTACAATCCAGGGAACAGCACCAACTTAGAAGAGTTTGACACCCAACTAATAAGAACATAGAGTGAGAAAACAGAGGGAAGACATTTTCAAAGAAATTATAGAAAACAATATTATAGATCTGAAGTTCCATGTGAGTCTTTAGACAAGTGCCAAGTCTGTGAGTTGTAAATTGAATAATAAAAATCAAGACATCGATGCAAATTATTGTAAATTTCAAAGCATCACATATAAATAAAAAGTTCAAATGCTTTCAGAGAGAAAAAAAATCAGGTGATTTATAATGTATCGTGGATACATTATAACATAAGAATATTCTGATACATCAGAATAACATAAAACTTCTTAACAACAACACTAAGTACTAGGGGTCATGAGGAAAAGGAATCAAGGGTGTCTTCATTCCACATTTCATTGAGGTTGGGTCTTCTGCTCTGGCCATGGAATATGACTGTGCCACTGATTGTCCTTTATTTCTCTATCATCAGTCATTTTTTTTTTAATTTCAACTTTTATTTTAGATATAGAGGATACATATGCAAGTTTGTTACATGGATATATTGCACACAGGTAGTGAGTGTAGTACCCAATAGGTAATTTTTCAACCCATACCCAACAGTTTCCAAGTGGAGAATTAAATTAAGAACTCAACCCCTTTTACAATAGCTGCAAAAAATAAAATAAAATAAAATACTTAGGAATATACCTAACCAAGGAGTCAGAAAACCTCTACAAGGAAAACTACAAAACACTGCTGAAAGAAATCATAGATGACACAAACGAATGGAAATACATCCCATGCTCATGGATAAGTACAATCAATATTGTGAAAATGACCGTACTGCCAAAAGCAATCTATAAATTCATTGCAATTCCCATCAAAATACCGCCATCATTCTTCACAGCAGTCTTCACAGAACTAGAAAAAACAATTCTAAAACTCATATGGAACCAAAAAAAGAGCCTACACAGCCATAGCAAGACTAAGCAAACAAACAAACAAACAAAATCTGGAGGCATTACACTATCTGACTTCAAACTATACTATAAGGCGATGGTCACCAAAACAGCATGGTACTCGTACAAAAATAGGTACATAGATCAATGGAACAGAATAGAGAACCCAGAAATAAATGCAAATACTTATGGCAAACTGATCTTAAACAAAGCAAGCAAAAACATTACATGTAGAAAGGACACCCTATTCAACAAATGGTGCTGGGATAATTGGCTAGCCACATGTAGGAGAATGAAACTGGATCCTCATCTCTCGCCTTATACAAAATTCAACTCAAGATAGATTAAGGACTTAAACATAAGATCTGAAACTATAAACATTTTAGAAGATAACATTGGAAAAACCCTTCTAGACATTGGCTTAGGCAAGGATTTTATGAACAGGAACCCAAAATCAAATGCAATACAAACAAAGATAAATAGCTGGGACCTAATTAAACTGAAGAGCTTTTGCACGGCAAAAGAAACAGTCAGCAGAGTAATCAGACAACTCACAAAATGGGAGAAAATCTTCACAATCTATACATCTGATAAAGGACTAATATCCAGAATCTACAACAAACTCAAACAAATCAGTAAGAAAAAAACAAACAGTCCCATCAAACAGTGGGCCAAGGACATGAACTGACAATTATCACCAGTCTTGAAATTAATTTTTAAGAGCTCTCAGAATCTGACAATAGGGTAATGCTATCCATAATTTCAGTGATGAGTTTTCATCTTTTCATTGTTTTCACAGGGACTTAGAGAAAGAGTTGGGAGAATTCCTAGGTAGCCATTTTAAATCAGATGCCTAAATAAAGCACTTTATAAAATGCCAACTCAAATAACATACTTCCGCAGGATTTTCTAGTCTCCCTTTATTGCCCTCCATTGGCAGAACCTAACAGGGAGAGCGCTGATAAGCACTCTTGACAGCAATATATTTTGCAAAGTCCCAGCCTCAGCATCACAAAGCAGAATACAGAAGGGTGAATTTGGAGCTGAGAGACAATAGCTAATGGAAGTCTATCGTTTTGGCTACTTTGCACCTTTACACATATAACAACAATAGCTTTATGCTTTACAAGATAAGATGTAACTATCCTTCACACAGATTAATTTCAGTTTTAAATACTCTCCCCCGAAAAGGAGGCGCAGTGTCCCAACTGTCATTCTGTTCATTTCTAATAGACAGCTTCAGTGTCAATATCTAGGCAATGTCAATTCTCCTCTAATTCTGTCAACATTTCATCTGAGTATTAAGAAACTTAAAAACTTAATTGTAAAATTAACCATCAATGACAATCTTTACGTAAAATTAGAAGATGAAAGAAGGGAGAAAAAATTAGTTCATATGTATACACATATGATAATCACAGAAGGAAATACGTACAGCTGTAGTAGTCTTAATTCCGTAGCTTGCCATGAGTATTGTTGATATTTATAACCTCCTTCTTTCACAAACCATTCTGTATTCCCTTTGTAGCTGGCCAGCACCTTAGTGGGTTGAAATTCTTTACTTGGTCATTTAAGACCAAAAAGCATCTGAAACCTCAGTGGTCTTGCAAATTTTGGATTATTTTAATTTTCCATTAATATTTATTAATACATAGGGCAACCCAGAGGACTTCCTTGGGTTCACAGGTGGTGCTCCCTGGCCCATTGTATAATCACAATATTGTTTCCCCTTGATAACTTGGACCCATCACTTCATCCAATATTGTAACTCACTAAAATAGTCAGGTGAAAGTCTCAACTTCCATTTTAATGGGACCATTGTGCATCAACTGGTGGAAGCAATTTTTTTTTTTCCCTTGGGAACTAAGACCTTTGAATCAGCAATGCTCAAAGTTACAGAGATGAGAAGCAAAAGTTCTGCAGGTAGGTTAAGGATAATAGTGAAGGAAGCCACTCTCATTCCACCCTGGGAAAAAAGGAGCTAAAGTTGCCATGTGATCAATTTCTCTGTCAGTTGCAAAGATGAGGGGGAATAATACCCAAAGGAAAGAAAGAAGACAGACAATTGTGGTCTAATCAACTTACAAACAAGTTGATATCTCATTATCTTGGTAAATAAACTAATGACATTAAATCGAAAGAAAATCTTTATGGATACTTTTTAAAGGATTTCCTTGTCTTTGGTTTAGAGTTGCTTATGGTATGCCAACTTATGAATTCATGAGTCACGGTTTCCTAAAGAATGACACAGACTTCTCCTACGTCATCTGTGCCTTTTGATTGATTGTACCCTTTAATGTATTAGTAAAGCAGGTTACTGGGTAATATCTCAGCCTGATTAGATGAATTCTTTGTGTTAGTTCACATCCCTTGATTCTTAGACCCATGCATTTAAGCCATGGGATAAATAGCACCATATATTGGTCACTAATTCAAAGTCAATACTATGATCAGCAAAGTAGATCTACATAAACAAATTCATTTTTGGAGTGGGAAGCTATTAATAGATGTTTTCTATAAAACAGAATTAAATTTGTAATATATTAAACTGGAAAATTTTAGATACAGTAGTAAAACTCAATTCCTATTCTATTTCTCTTAAATTTAACATTAAAAAATAGAAGTAGCACAATGTATCTTCTGTGCAGGGAGAATAGCTGACAGCAAGTGCTATGCCCTAGGACATGACTGTTCAAACCCTCTGGGATTGTTTTCTACAAAACTTGTCTAAAAATGAAGATTCTGACATTATTGAGGCAAAACTAAATGGCAGGTATAGATTTTGAAAAATGGTCACTTGTCGCCATCACTTCTTCCCAGGAGCAGCACATGACTTAGGTCAAGGGTCTGTTGATGTGTCCAAGTATTGCTTAAGGTAAAACACGCTTCTTATTAATGAATGGATAACTCATTGGAGTTCTAATTAAATTTACCAAATTAGCAATCACATCACACATGAACATGAATAACTATAGCTTAATTGGATCTGTTGATATTAAAACATTAATCAGTTTATCACTGAGAAATTTTAATGAAAAATTTTCCCAGTATTATATTTGGTTAACCACAGGGATAGAGATTGACACTGTCCTTTGTTTTTCTCAGGCAGTGGCTTTTACCTATACTAAATGTCTGACTAGGAGAAAGCTAGAGGAAAATTATGTTACAAAAAGTGGTGTAGCAAGACTTACCTTGACAAGGAGGTTTCTCAAATTGAAATCAATGTTGGTTTGTAGACGTTGAATGATTATCCATCTTTGTACTAATACCTAAGGATGTATGTGAGCAGAACAAATCAACACTACTTAGGTTGACATTGATTCTATTGTCAAATCTGTGGCTAAGAGGCACAATAGAAGATCTCCTGCCTCAATATTATTCTCTATAGTATAAAGAAA